ATTTTCAACAACTCTTTGTATTTTCGGAAGAGTGTAGTTGAATACCTTCTCACGATGAACTTGATTTACTCTAAATGGATACAGTTTCATTAGTTGTTTACTAAATCCAGAAGCCGAATTGCCAGTTATTCCCCGGTCCATTTCGCTTGGTAAAGGATTCTCCATTTCTTTCTTAAGTGACGACGCCTCGTAATTTTTAGAGTCATTACATCGCCCGGGACTCCCGACATTTATACATTGTATACATTATATATTTATGTATATGTATCTATATTGCGTTTCAAAACTTTACTTAGCATCAACTAATGCCATTAAAACGGTGGAATACCGCCCTATGGAATTATAATAATCCACAGTTTCTTCAGATCATGAGTGAACCTCAAAGTGGCATCCCTCTGTAAATAAATATTAGGTCATTGGCGTAAATTTAATATTTTATAACCAATTTTTCCTAAGCGTTGTGGGAATCCAAGTACTTCGAAACCCGTCATCAATTCTGTCATGCTTTCTCTAGTTATTGGCAACTTATTGAAACAGAATATTTGCCGTAATCTCCAGATTTCGTTGCAAAATTTTGCAAACCGTAGATTTTCCTACTTTGAACATATTAGCGATACTCCGGAGGATGTCGCATAATTTCTTAAATGAACTTCGGTTCATGCAAAATAATTCTCTAGCAGATCCATTTTGTTGGCAATCGTGTTCCCAAAAATGCTGCTTGCATTGTTGGAATTAAAATATTTAATTTAAAACTTTTGCAGTGGTAGGAACCTATACAAAGTTTTGTCCAACACGATTTAGTCGGCATCCCAATGTCCTTTGTTATACCTAGGATAATTAAACGTTGTTTTTTCAACTTCGCTATCTTTTTCGCAAGGGCAAGGTGCCTGCTGGTAATAGTCCTTATCTCTTCTCTTGCAAAATAGTCGCTTCGCAAATTATTTATTTGGCTTTAATAATGAAAAATTCATTGTCGGAATTCTATAAAACACGATCTTTATCAATAATTGAAAGCAAACATTAAGATTCCAAAACTGACCATTATCGTTGCCCAAAATATAAACAAACAAATAAATTTGTGAACTGTTAATGAAAACGCTGTTTGAGCTGTTTTAAGCTGAATATTAATGAAATTTTTCTCCCTTTTCCCCATCCCTTTTATCATGATTTACGATCATCTGGTTGACTTTTTCCTTAAATATCCAATTTTAAATCTAACTTCTTGTTATATTCCATTCATTCGATAAATTACTCATTTGAATATGTTTCCTTGCTTTCTAAAAAGTTTCATGTAACCCAATTAAAAATGAATTTAAAGAAATTTTTTCTAGGATTACTTAGCCGCTGTGCAGATAAAATTTCTAAACCACTCTTATTCTTTTTTTTACTTAAAACTCAAATATTTTAAACATTTTTAATGATATTGTAATAATGTATAAAACAAAGTAAGATCATATATACTCGAATCCTTTCTGTTGAACGTTATTAATTAAAGTAAAATCTGATAAATTATCACAAACAAAAAAACTTAATTTTTATTAATTTTTTTATATCAAAATTTTCCAATCAAGGGGTTAGTACTTGTAAAGGAAAAATTTACACATAGAATTTATAATTGATATTTAAGTATCCTAAATGTAAATCAAACTTCGGTATCTTGGTGTTTATACACATATAATATAATGTGTAATTCATATACATACGTATGAACAGATGTATATAATATTATTAAATGTATTTAACGGATTCTTTTATTTCCTTCCATTAACAGAAAAATTGCCACAGATATTGTCAATTATTCAATTCAAGTCGTCATGGTATTGAACGACTCGAAATTTGCGAATCTAAAGATGACAAGAACCCAAAAATAGTAACGCTCGAAAATTGCGTCAAGATAACACAAGAACCAGCTCCGGCCAATCACATACTAGTTATAAAGAAAACAGAGTCTCTGACATTAATCGCTTTATCAGAAGAAGACTTGAAAGAATGGACAAATGCATTACAAATGGTTGCTTTTCGAAATAAAAACAGTTTAAGCGTACCGCAAGCCGCGATAGAGGAAGATAATGATTTATATTGTAGCTCTTTTGGTGATGGGTTATTTGTTATCACACTTATTCCTTCAGAAACGTCGATTCGTTGTAATCTTGAATCCAAATCGTATATTCTTCATCTGACCGCAACTGAACTTCAACTAAAATGCACTGAAGATCTTAATGAAATAAGAGCTAGATGGCCATATCGATTTATTCGAAAATACGGTTACCGTGATGGTAAATTCACATTCGAAGCAGGTAGGAAATGTTGCACTGGAGAAGGAATATTTACACTTGATCATACCAATCCCCAAGAAATATTTCGTTGCATGGCCGCAAAAATGAAATCTATGAAGAAGTTAATAAATTGCGACAATCACAATAATGACATAAATGAAAACCATTGGACCGTTGCCGCAAATATGGAGGCGGGCTCTCGATGCCCCTTGACACCAAACAATCAACAGTGCATAAGTATCGAAAGCAATTCTCAAAATAGTGTTTCTTATAGAGAGTTTGCGACATCTAGTGATTCCCTTATCAGCTGCTTTACAAACTCTAATAACAATTCCATATCGACATTACCATTACTGCATCCCGTTTTAAAACAAATCCCGAGTAAGCCTCCCCGAAAAATACAATCAACAGTCCCCACTTCCGGAAGTTCTAATAAAGCACAAATGCTTGCAACAAACCTAAATTTTCAGCTAAATGCTGACAAATTGTGCAAATATCAGAATTATGAGGTAGTTTCGATAACAACATCAAGTGATCCCAATAAAACGATTGGGTCAACCCTTGTTATAAAGCCGAACTCTCCAGAGTGTATCCACAAACAAAGTCTAACATTTCTTAATAATGAAACTTTGGGAGCTGAACGAGACTATGAAAGCATAGAAACTGTAACTGATGCTTGGAAAACTCTTGGGATAGATGAAGTACAGCATAAGGAACGTGTTTTGACCAAACATTGCGATGAGGATTTTAAAGAACCAAGTTGGCAGCGTTCTGTCAACACTTGTAATCGCTCATTAAAGGATACATTTTTACCGTCTAAAGTGTCAAGAGTAATAGATATTGATATCGGAGAAGGGGGAGGAGGGAGTGGCAATTCAAGTACTTCAAGGTGTATTGATGATTCGTATGATCGTCTAGATTTTATGTCACCTGATAACAAAACATCCAGCGGTTATAACACAATTATATCTGTCATTTCGCCTATTCGTAAACGCTGTGATTCCCCCTCTCTGAGTGATTATGAATTCATAGGCAATCCGGAAATTGACTTATCCAAGAAAAACGATACAGACAAAACTGGAAGTATCCGACCTTTTAATCCCAATGTACCATTATGTCCAACTTCGATAGCATTAAAATGTAACATAGTTGGAGCAAATTATTTCGAACCGTCCGTAAGTCAACAAGTGTATCAGAGTGCAAACATATCACCTACACACGAAAATTATAGTGGCATAAACTATACGATAGTTAGTAAGCCTAAAAAAGTTTGATACTGAATTTTTATACAAAAATCCCCTTTCAAAAACTGTGATTGTCGTATCTGAATTAGAAATATCTTATTCGATCGATTTGCAAAATCTGTAAATCCATACTTATGTATTTGCGCCATATGAATATATCTACAATATTTAGATGTCTTATAAGAAATGAATAACAGTATAAAAAAATTTAAATGAAATGTTTTCATTTTAGTTTGAAAAAATATATTGTTTCTTTTAAATTAATGTAAGATATATATTTAACAAAACTTACACCGTCGAACAAGTAGTCTTCGCATCAATATTTTCTAGGACAGGTACATAACATTTAACGATTTCTCCGAAGTTTCAAAGAGTCAAATTCACTAAAAAATTGGTGGAAAAATTATACATATAATTTGATTAAGCAGATTTTTAATCATCACTATAATAGAAGTACAACAGTCATGTATTGGCATACCCAACCCAGAATATTTTTGGCGCACATAACTCAGGAATAAAGAAATGAAACAAATGGAGATACTAATATAGTAAATAATCGTTATTTTTTACGATACGTTCTAAATCGATATGGTCGAACCAAAATAGAAGATAAGTTGGCTTGAGTGGGCTGATGTGGTTAGTGTCAGGTCGCGCTTTTAATATGCGATAAGAGGTTTTGCGACATCAAAAATTTCATTTAAAGAAAAATAATTTGTAAAGTCCTTTTTGAGATTATGGCTAACTTCGAAATGATACTACTGCAAGAACTGATGCAGTTTGTCTCTACTCTCAGTTGATGTCACGTTCCAATGATTTATAATGGTGGCAGAATAAACAGAGACGAACTTATAGACTTATTTTATAGCCCAAAATTAAACTTTCCTAACATAGGTTTGATTCACTAGTTAATATGCAACGAAGCTTAATAACAGTACTTTGTGTTTATTGTACATTCTGTCAATTATTTCTAGACTATTTTGTTTCAGTTAAAGCTGATAAAAATAATAAAACTACTAATAAAATTAATTACCTCGGTTGTTGTTCACTGCGCACTAACTGCGGAAACTAATCATCGGAATCTTCAGACAGAGGAGTATTGGTGGTAGGAACACTCAGAAACACTCACGCTTATATGTGACGTGCGTATTGTGGTAACATCCACTTTTAGAAATTTCTCACAGCAGAAATCTCATTCGAGAAAATATACGCATTATTTAAAGGAACATAATTTATATTTCTTTTCGTGTTCTCCAATTTAGCGACATATTATGCTTTTTTTCGGCTCAACAGCGTATCGCGTATTATATTATTATTATTATTATGGCTCGTTATAACATCGGCCAATTCTTGGCATGTACACCAGTAATACAAAAAAAAAACCACTGCAAGTGTTTTCCCCACGTATCGAGCACACGGCTATGCAGAGAAACTTTTTAAACATTTTGCTTTACATTTCATTTATTTCACTTGCGTAATTAGCTCTTGTAATTCGTGTTTTCTTTTAAATAAAACAAAATCATGCCATGCTTTTATTATTACTTCGTTGGCTGATCCAAAAAGTCTATTCGTAAAATAGCAGCACAAATACATTTTAACGAAAGTCTAGTGTGACGTTTTATGGAAAAACTGAGAGGATGAAAGGTTCAGGAAAATAGGGAACACTTAAATAGCCGAAGTTCGAAATGCCGACCCATCAAAATACCTACAAAATTTAAATATACAGATAAATCGAAATACCAACAAATCAAAATACAGACAACTCGAATTGCCGACATATCAAAATATGTGTAATACACGATAAAATATTTTTGAAAATTATTTGCAAAATCAAGCTATCAAGCCGTAGATAGGTTTTTTGAGGGTTAATATCTTCACAAAAGGTAAGTAAAGTTGTAGTTAACAAAAAAAAAAAAAGAAAGTAGTTCGACGCGAAATACATCTGAACGCCTCAGCGTTGAATCGACCAGAGTTATATTTTTCAAGCGCGGCGAAGGCCACCAATGCAAAAAATAGTTCGACCCGAAAGAACTCTGAACACCCCGGTGTTGGGTCGACCAGGGATATTAAAGTGCGGCCGAAGGTCGCCAATGCAGAAAGTGGTTCTACGCGAAAAAAAATTGAGTACATCCCTTTGTTAGCTCGACCAGGGTTATGTTTTTGAAGCACGGCCGAAGACAGCCAATGCAAAAAATGAGTTCTATGCAATAAAACTGAGTACACCCCGGTATTGAACCGACCAGGGTTATTTTTTTGAAGCTCGGTATTTCGACGCGGAAGAACTCTGAACACCCCGATATTTTAAAATTTTTCTGTCTTTATTTTGAATTGTCAGCATTTTGATTTGTCGGTATTGTGATTCTCGGAATTTTATATATCGAGGTTTGGTTGTCGCCAATATGTTATACACCCAGAAAAACAGATGCACTAGCTTAAGAGAAGACCGTTCTATCTTAAAAACAAGTTTACAAGGTCGATTTAAAAACGCAGCTGTATTGCAGCAATCCTTTAGTAATGATATTTCAACTCGGAACAGTTCAAAATCGGTTAAGTTGGGCTAAAAATAAATTAAAGTGGCCATCTGTAATGTTTCCTGACGAGTCGAAGTTCAACCTTATTAGACCTAATGGTTGTCAAACAGTTCGTCGTAGACTTAGTAGACGATTCGCAGAAAATTGTATTCTTTCTACTGTGAAACATTCTCCCATCCGGCTCGCATGTGACGCCAGTAGGTTGTGACTTGTCATTATAAAAACAACCGTCTTGTAGTCTTTTCGAGACTGTGTGAGTAAAAAGCCTGCATGTTTTTCTTCGGAGCTCTAACATATAATCTTAGCGAACCTGCATATTAAGCCATTCCATCTCGCACTACTATTTTTAGTGACTTCCATATTTCCTGTTCGGGTTTGGTAGCCAGACGGATGACACTTTTGGCACCCTCATCATCTATTTTGTTTCACGAAATTCCTTTTTGACCTGAAACCCAGAATATATGCAGCCGCTTACTGGCAGCCACTACATTTATTGCCTCCCTGCTTCTAACGACATTCTTTGACGCAATACGGTGCATTTTCTTTATGTTGCTTTTTGTATTGTTGGCCATCTCAGCCGCTTTCCTGACCGCAAATACTTCCGCCTAAAAAATATAGCAGTATTCAAAAAGCTTGAAGAGTTGCCTGATATTCAGCTCTGAGTAATAGATACCGGCTCCCACTCCATTAGCCATTTTTGATCCGTCTGTTTAAATGTTCCGTTGGCAAGTCGCATGCTCCTGCGACATCCGTCCTATTTTAGTGTTACGTTAAACCTTCTCTCCCAAATGAAGCGTGTGGGTATGTCATGCTTATTTTGCTGAGCCTGAAGGTGCTTGTGGAGAAGTCACCTAGCTCCGCCAATTTTGCAGCTGCAATGTTGATTGGTGGTAGGTTGAGTAACCTTTTTGTGGTTCTAACCGTTAGAGTGGTTCTTAGCACTGCCGCTATGCAGAAAGCAGCGAGTTGCTGTACGATTTATATTTTGAATTTTTATTTGTTGAAATTTAAATTTAGATAGTGTGAATATAAGCATTTCAATAAAACTATTTTTTTTATTTTAAAATCATTTCAATATTCATCAAAGCGTATAGATAAGTGACTGTCAAAGAAATTTTTAGTAATTTATTAAAATTAAACAATATTCTTTGGAGAGTCTTATTGCATGATATTTTTAAAAAACGTGTAGTCATTATTTACTGAGGTTAACACAAGTATGAGGTTATGTTATGTTCGATATGCTTAACGTCAATATGATGATTTGTTTAATTTTCATCAAATTTATAACCAAAATTATCAAAACTAATCTTTGTCTTACATAAAAAAAGTTGTTAAATAAAACAAAGAAAGGAAGAGCCGAGTTTGGATGGTGTCAAAAACTAAATACCCTTTACACCTGTACAAGTAAATAAGTTTTACATTAGTACCCGTTTCGCCAAAGAGTAGTGGATTATAACTGTCATTATGCGTTTGTTGTATACAGAAACACGATTGTTATTTAGGGAATGCCACAGAAGTTAGTCTAAAATAGTTAGATTTAGCAAATTGAATTCATTCTCGAAATTACTAAATTTCTCAGTGTTCACTCAGTTTTTTAAGCTGATAATATGGTCAATTTTAAAGAATCTGAAAAAATATTTCCGAACGGCAGGTGTACTCGCACATATGCACACTCGCATATATGCGCAATAGTAATGATAGGCGGAAGAAAGTTGGGTTCAAGTTCTACATTAACGGGGTGAAAGCTGTGGATGCTTGTTTCGTAAAAAATTCTATGAAAATAAATAAACAATTGGTATTCAAATTTAATAAAGTTTTTAAATATAATGTAAAACAATATTTAGAACATTTGAAGTTCTTTTGATGACAGTTCAGTGGCTATAAAATTTTTTGTTTAATGAAAACGAACTCACTGGATGTAATTATGGGTGTATTAAACAGATGAACATTTTAAGGAGCTGATTTCCCTATATATATTTTGGGGGGGCTGAAAAAATGTTCCATTACGATGTTTGTCTTCTTATTTAAATTATTATTGACATTCATAAAATTAATAAGACTAAAAGCATTCAAGTAAGGAAGGGCTAAGCTCTCACCAAACCGAACATTTTATACTCACGTAATTTGCGAGGTTCACAGATCATGGAAATATTTTCAGATGGTAGCAATACTGTATTATACTAAAGAATGTTGCGAAATAATTCAATATTAATTATAGCGTGAAAGGATTACAATCTTACTTGAAATCTTATTAGCTTATGTGTATTATAGGCCGTAAACTAACTTTTATTTCAAACTATATATGGGAATTGGATCCGCTACAGCCGTGACAAATTACTCAAATAGCGGACGCACCCGAATTGTACTACTTCATCTATTCATAATTCCTAAACCTCCATAACTGATTGGCGACAACCAACACAGTAAAACATTAAGATTTAACTTCTGCAAGGTTTTCGTAATTCCCATGTGGGCTCCGCTTGTACCGTTGTGCAGCTCATTGAGGACTTCGGAAAATCCTTACTTTCGGAACAATCATAAGAGCTTTCCCATACTCGATTCAAGCAACCAGACAACAACTTTGAACTATTCCACTGTGCCCAATATGGCTTTGCGACTGTACTTTCTGCTGTTATTTTTTCTTTCGTGGGACGTTTGTATAGCTGCACTCCATGCACTACACGTTTCAAGTGTGATTTTGAACTTGCATTTATGTGAATTAGCCAAGTGAACTAATCTCTCCATCTCCGTAGCAAGCTCCTACAAAGGCCTATTGCAACTTGATGTCGAAGATCTGCTTCCTGGGTCTTTTCCATATCGTCTTTCTACCACATCCATCAACGTCTTATAGTTTTCTCGATTCTCAATTGGAAATGGTTTGTAAGACTTCTACTTTGGATCCTTTTATTGCAACGAATAATTAGGCGACTTTATCTTCAGAGTTCTAACTATTTGCAGCTGCTGTTTTCTTTAACTGTGCCTTAAAAACATGGAACGGGAATGTCCCGTCATGATGGAGTTTTAACTTTTGCAGAGGTTGTTAACATTATTGGCCAATTGTAGCTCGCGTCAATTTTTCAACTCATCTACGTTAGGCTTATTTTAATCCTACTTCTCCGAAATCTGTGAAAACACTTCCGTTATTTGTGAAGTCACCCGCGTCTATATACGAGCCTCCCACTTTTTCAACTGTGAGGACACCTGTGTTTATATATTGATAATAACAATATAACCTTATTCTTGATGAAAATCTATAACACCTTTTTGAAATCTATAATAAAATAAGGTTTGTATTAATATCTAAATGTGCAGTTTATAAAGGTTTGATGAGTTATGTATTAATATATATTTAATTTGCGTTGGTCATTAAAAGTTTTGATAACATCTCAAAACCAAGCGGTCGCACATATGCACATATGCTTTTTACAAGGAGGAAGCATCGAAAGCCTGAACTCTATGTCAGTGTGAAACTTTAATCCGAACTAAACATCCTACTGTAATGTACTGATACCAGCGTTTTCTGATTTTTGCGGCTATTTCGCACACCGGATTTTACTTATTCTTGAATTCAATCATTTAGTCTACTAAATTTTCAACTGTTTCAAATGCATTCTTTAGGTATCGTGTTGCTCGTATTGCGGACAGTGGAACGACGTATGCTCTACATTCTCAATTGTATAGCCTTCGCAAATGCAAATGCCCCGTATGTCATCAGTCTCGTGTTTAAATCATTTCAAATATGCTTTTAAAGAGCCATGTCTTGTGATGATTTGGAGCGGCTATATCTTTATGATAGGGTTGGCTTTAGCATTACTTCGGGTTTCCGACAGATTTACTGAGATCAAGTTATCAGCTGATCAAGCGATTGAATGATTGGTGTTATTATACGTCGATCAGGTTATCGATGATTTTTGTTGCTCCGTCCATTTACTAGTTTCTGACGTCTTCGCAGCAACATAAACAGCAATCCCTTAACGCCGTTGATGAGCAAAGATTCCTCGGGACAAGACTTCAGAAATTTCTCTTAAAGTGGGTGTTAAGTGTGTTAAAAGAAATTAGAAGAGCGAGACGGTAATACGAGCAGCTGAGAGTGGGCCATTGTATAAATCTACAAATAACCAATTCTAAGATCTTCACTAATCCACATGCAACAATGGCTCACTAGTTACGGATTGCTTCCAAAATTCTACTACTAAAGTCACACTTGGTACGGGCTGTTAAACAAATATTCTACTACTAAAACATCCAAATGACTCAAAACTCCTACAGTGTGTTGCATTCTTTTGTTTCAAAATTTATAACTTTAAGAAGGTATATAACATATTCAAATAGTTTTCGATTATTAAGATTCCTAAACATTATATTTACATTTAATAAGTACATCGCTGTGGGTGATTTAGAACATTTTGTAAATATTATTTATTAATTTGTACATTGTTTTGCTTATTATTATTGTTGTTTCTGAATTGTACCTAATTTTTTATTCTATTATTTTTGTGTTTGTTAAAATTACAACATGTAGATTGTTTTCACTTATATTTGTTCATGAATACAATTGAATTGTACCTGAATTTTATACATTTATATTTTCGATTTTGTTTAAATCAAGTTGAACATTTCAATTTATATTGTTAATGTAATTAATCTTCATGAGCCTGATTTTATGTATGTATCTTTTTGAGTTATATTTATTACAAAAAGTAGATTGTTTTAGAACTGTATATATTATATGGGTGAATATAGACCTCCTGGGGAACCGAACACCCAGAAAAGATCGGTATCGCACCTATATTATAACCTCAAAGGTAGTGAGGAAAAGCAATAAATATAAATAATATTTGTTTCGAAAATATTCTTGACAGTTTTCATAAATATTCTCCATTACAAATACATGTTCACAAAAAAGTTGTTAAGTTGTCCTTTTATTTACATCTCTGTGTCTAAAAAAGGCAGATTCGATCAGGGGATATCAGCTGTGTCACACACATAGGAAAACAGCAGATTCTTTGGTTATTTGGTTTTGGCTTTTTGCGCAATCCCTTTTCTGTGGCTTTCGCCCAAAATAAATAGATAGTGCCAGCTCACAACGGATTCTTTTGTCGCCCAAAACCAGTCTTTTTGTAGGCGAGAGGACGACGAGGGATCGTGCCACACGTGCTCGGATGACACGCTTTATGTTCATGTTCGTAACAGTTCACTGCTACGCAAATCAGCTATCCTTATAATTTTGAAATTATTATCATGGTTGAAATAGCGCTCGGTTTCAAATGAATATCTACGATATTTTCTGAAATTTGAATTTTGCTATCTATTTTTTTTTATGCAATATGCATAGTACAATAGAAATATTTGGAATAAAGATAAAAATAACATACTCAAAAATATTTAATTTAAATATTTTATATCATTTAGCAGAATTAAATAAAAAGAGGACTCGCATGAACGCCGACATACTTAGCTTAATGTATATTTGTTTATATTTAACACATATGCATGCTCTCATTTTCACTTATGCT